GGGGCAATAATGGACTCCCTGCGTCAGCCTTTTCCAGCGAGGCTATCATCCAAGCCTGCCTGGGTCACAAGTCCACCTCTGCTATTGGAGGGAGCTGCCCCCGGCGGTGTCATTCCTGTCACATCCAGCCCATCTACATACGGGCTGCACAAGCTCCGGCGCCATTGACCTCTAAAACACTCAGTGTAATGGTAATATATCTGAGGTAAATCAGCACAGCTTGGTAATGGCACATAAAGAAGCCACTTTTCCACTAAACCAAATGGAAGTGGATCCAGCCTGGGTGTTGGTTCAGCTCAGTGGACTCATTTTGTGCTCCCTGTGCACCCCTAGACACTCCAGTCCAAAGGTAGACTGTTCATCAGCCTTGGACAATTATTGGGGTTGATATTCAGCATTTGGCACATTATCTGTATTGGACTTTTACTTGTGTGCTACTGAAGCTCGGCTGCCTGGAGAGTCTTTTCCTCTAGGTCTGTTTTATTGAACCACTTAGTCTCATCTGATGTCCAACTCACAGTAGTATCTGATTGGCTGGATGTCACATGATGGTGCGTCATAACTTGCACTGTGATAGTTAACTACCAACTATTATGTAAGGAATTTCAGTTTTGATAAATATAGATTATCAGTCTCAAGAACAGCAAATGGCCCAGAAATCCCAATATCAGTCGATGTTGTTCAGGATGACTGTTCTTGAGATGCATAGTGTGTTTTTTTAAAGGAGTGTTGTGTGCAAGCAGTTATTTTACAAAATAAAAATCAGACCTGCTCATGCTGATGATAAACTTTTAAAGCCTTTACTGACCATTACCAGCTTTTATTGCTGATTGTGTCAACATAAGGGTCATATGGAAAAGAGAACAACACTGAATACAAATACTTCAGTATGAGATGTCTGCATGAAACCATAATTTATTTGAAGGACGTAACCCTTGTTGTCTCCTTCTAAAGCAGCATGATAATGAAGTTCATCCTGCAAAATAATGAGTTTAAAAGTTCTTCAAGCCAATTATCCACCGAAAATTTGCACATTGTTTACTCCTCTGAAGAATTGCATGGACAGTTTGGTGTGCATAATCATAACTGGACTTGAACTCAGTTAATCAGGAATACAACTGTAGTCTAAGTGAAACACAGAAACTTGGTGCATTGATCCCACGTGTTTTTGCATGTGTAGATACAGGTGCTGATGATATTGATCTTCATTGTTACACCTGCGGTCTGTACTGCATCACTGTGTTTATTCCATCCAGAGCTGCATCAGTTCAGCCTCCAGGGTGACAGGAACCCACTCAGGGTGTGTGGATGGTGACATCTGCTGGTCGCCTTCAATCAGAAGCTCCTGATGTCATAAACATACAGTAGAGTGTATGGAGGATATTCTGGGCACGGAGCCATAAACTAGTAACATGATGAGATTTTGGGATTACGGATATTTTGCACATTTCAAATACAGGAAGGGAGACAAAAAATCATGAATGATTGTTCTTATTTTGCTTCGACTAAAACATCAGAGTGTGCAGCTTCTAAATAACCTGCTGCACTATACTATCACAATTATAAGCAAAAGAGGCCAAAGCTCTGAAAAATTAAAAGCTTGTCCACAACATAGTTGGCTAAAAGGTGGAAATAAATCAATAGACTGAATGACTGGCAATATTATCACATTAACTCAATTATCATGGGATACACTGTTAAATTTCTGACTGTTACACAATAAAATACATTAAAAACTTAACGCTGTTTTTAATTTCTCCTGCAATCTGCAAAGTCAATAGTTTTCTGTACCTTGGATAAGGTATTTTAAGATCTATATTCAACAAAGTGGTAACAAAACATGAGACAAGTTATGTTTAATGTTGAATAAACAATAAGAGGGGTTCTTAAATAGTGCAGACATGCATTAAGGACAAAAGCAGCTCATCTGGAAAATTTTGTGATTTTTAGGAACTTTTTTAAGAATTTTGTACATGTGTGAATGTCTCAAACAAACAACACTGAACCTGTGGTCTGTTTGTGGAAATAAATCGTTTAGAGTGTAAATTGTCTCGAAAAAGTTATATTTTTAGTGTTTTAATATGGCAGAAGAATGAAAGTTGGTGATCAGATATTTAATAATTCATAAAAAGCCCATTTTAATGAGGAATAAGGACTTCAGTATAAGAGACAGCCGCTGGTGCCAGAGTAAAATGCAACACGAAATGCACCTTTCAGTAATAGCTCTTATTCCGAGCACAAGTCTTGTTAACAGAATCACATTTCGTCCAAAAGGCTGAGCAAGTTGTCCCACGGGCATGAGCCAAAGTGCTGAGAAATGTAGTCTTCAGGAGAACATATCTAAACATCTGTTAAAAACGTGGTTGTGCAGAAATGGATACGACTGCGGGACTTTGAAGCTTTGATTTTATCTCTGTCAGTGGTAGCTTATGTTTCCCACAGCCACTACGGCCTGGCTGAGTTGGATGTTTTTGAGGAATAAAATGTAAAAACAAGAGTCCTTGGAGAAGAAAATGTTAAGAAATGAATAATTCAAATAATGAAGCATAATGTTAAAGGTTTGGGAAAAACATGTACAGTATATTTTATGATTGGGTCAGGATTCCATGTTTTAACTCTCCACCATGTTATACTTGGAGAGGCCGACCTCTGTTTCTTTGTCACTCCGAAATTAAGACACTTCCATCGCTGTCACTCTGTTTGTTTTGTTGATAAGTTGCTTAGCTGGGGCTGTGGTTGGTCTCTGAAGGTTGCCAAAATTAGATTTCTGAAAAAGAGGATGTTGCCTTATCCCAGCTTCTGAAATTAGGATATGATACAGTCTCTCATAAACTGTTTTTGTTTCTGAAGAGTGAAAAAATGTCAAGTATCTCCATTTCATATCTGTTTCTTCAGTGCTCTGTGTATGCAGATGACGTCTTGTTATTCTGACACTGCATCTCCAGGCATCATAACTCGCACCCCCCTTTTTCCTGAGGTCTGTTTTATCAATAGCAAATATTTGGCCATTGTTCCAGTGCCAGCAGTGATCTCACAGCTCTGTCATCCATACTTTGTATCTGAACAGAGCTCTAGGTTTACACATCTAACACAGCAGGAGCACCTAGGGCTACGAGCGTATGAGAGAGTCCACTGTCAGCTGCCAAACCTGTTTCTTGACACTGATCACAGGGGCATCACAGAAACAGTGGGTGTCGTGTAACATGGTAGAACACAGTTGACCCCTTTGGCTTCAGGCTACTGTAGGCCTAAATTAGTATTAGGGCTTATCTTGGGACCAAGAACATGACACTGTTGATCTTTGATTCAGGGACCAGAGTATCAACCCTGTCAGTCATTTTTCTTTGCCTCCAGCAAGGTCTCCTTTCACCCCGAGTACATGAGATGTCAAAGGCCTCTCTTTGTGCTCAGGTAGTTAGTGTAATGCAGAGATGAATCAGAGACACTGGCTGTTTGAATTAAACAGAAATGACTGACTTTACTGAAGGTGCATCAATCACATTTACAGCTTTTTTATGGGGCTTGAATTCTGTGAGATTCATTGGACATGTCATCCTATCATTTTGGTGCAAATACCTTTTACTATTACTAAATGATGACTCCTACTGTCTTTGAACACCCCCTGACTTTTGATCCACCACATCACACTGTGCAAGTGATTGCTGCTCTAATGACCCTATTTATTTTCCATGCCATTTTCTTCTGCTTATCTCGAGCTAGTTTGCAGCAGCAGCAGGCACACAATCCTCTCCACAGCAACATTTTCCGGCTGCTCTTGCCAGTAAGAACATATAATGCCTTTGGTGCAATCTGGGCCTACTCCAGGGTTTCCTACTAGTTCGATGTGGCATAACAGCCCCAAGGGGTGACACCCAGGAGGCATCCTTATTAGATGCCTTAACCACCTCACCTGAACTGAATTCCCCATGGGTGTCCAGGGTCTTGACCCTGTCTCTTAGGTTGAACCTAGCCACCCATTTGGGGTTACTCATGTTCTGTATTTGGTCACCATTCACTGCTAATTACGATAGGTGAAGGTGGAACAAAGAGACTGGTAAAAGCTTTGCCCTCAAGCTCAGCTCCCTCTTAAAGGGATATTCCGGCGTAAAATTAATCATGGTCAAACACACCGTAACATCGAGTTAGACACCCCCTTGAGAGACGAATGTTGCCGACTACTTGCTTCATTAGTTATACCAACTTTAGTAACGACCGCAGGATAGCAATACACAGCGGTCTGAGGAGCCATGAACAAACCTCAACCAAAACCCCACTCTATAGCCACAAATAATGCCATGATAAAGTAATGAATATAAATGTTCTTCCTTGAGCTGCGTCACCCCTCTGTAGTCCGTACTGGACTTGCCTGAGGTCTCGCTACAAACAAGCAGCTGCTGGAAGAGAGTAGGTGAGTTGTGTTTAGTCTCTTTGCTAAAGAAATGAGTCAAAGTTAAAAAGATGTTTGGTGTCTAGTACTATGTCTGTGACCCTATATGTCCTGTTGATGAAGTTAGGTGCTGTTCTGAGCATTATTTGTGGCTGTAGAGTGGCGTTTTCTCTCAAGGGAGTGTCTAACTTGGTGCAGCGGTGTGTTTCGCTCTAAATTAATTTTACGCCGGAATATCCCTTTAATATATTACTATAACAGGGCAAAAGAGTCATGATTTTATGTTTCAAAATTACAAAAATAAGTGAAAATATTGCAAAAAACTGACTTGTAATGCAAATATAGCCAAGAAAAATATGTTTCCTGTATGTTTAAGGAGTTGTAAAAGCTTTCAAATAAATGCTAAAACGTTTTATTGCAGAAAATCGGAACTTATTGCGCATTTAAACGCTCGAATTTCCAGCCCCAGCTGTCAATCAAGCTCGTTCCTCGGATCCCTCCTCCGTTGTGACGTAAAAGGGGGGCGTAGTCCGCGTTCCTTCAAACGCTTTAACCGGTGATTGGTCCGTTTCCGTCACGTGAACGCGAACAGCCAATCGGTCGAGAGTGCGATGAGTGAGGGAACCGAGCCGAAGTACGGGACCGTGGAAACGACTGTGGATGACGTTACATCATGAAGTGTGCCGTGTTGTCACCAGCTGTTGTCTGGAAGACGAAGGAAAAGTGGATGCGTCTCGGTCTAATGTGAGCCCGCGACCACACCGGACACCGTAGCGGCATTTTTGGGAGCTGAGAGATGAGACCGGATGAGTGAGAGAAGCTCCGGAGCCGCTCCAGCCTCCCAGTGACAGTATCAATTACATAACTGAAGGAGGCATCGATAAGACAAAAACTGTGATAACGGACCACTAGTGCCAGTACAGGTCGGAGGTGAAGCCATTTTCCTCTGCAGTGAGTGAAACGGTTTATCTACTCAGTTATAAGTCATTTATACGTGCACTTTCATTCCTGTAGAGATAGGTAGCCCACTTGTAGATCCCTGTGGCTGTGTTACAGCTGATTATGTAGCTAGGGAGATTCAGGGCTCTGAAAACTACAGCACAGCATGCTGGAGTGACCAGCTACACTGTTTACTCTTGTCAGTCAATTAGTGTTGAGCAGGCTGATACTGCAGGGCTCAGCAGTTTGACTTCAGGTCAAAGGTTACTTCTTAAAATTAGCCTCCCAGTATCCTACTTCAGTCCAACCTCCATATATGAAAAGCTTGTTTTAAAATGTGTGAATCATTATCCCTGTATTTTATCTCCCATTTTCTGAAGCCAAATACATTGAAGGAAATGTCAAGATTAATTACAAGTGTGTATAATATACATGTAGGACTTTGCTGCATAATTTAAAGCACTTAAACAAGAAGGAATAGATGCATTATTGTGTGCAAACTCAAACTAAGAATGTAAAGCATGTTTTGTTAAAAGACTAAGAGACTACCCCTTGTTTTCTCAGCTGTTAGCCCAGTATTTCCCTGTTTCTAGCAGTGGTGGACCGAACAGTAGTCAAGTTTAATCAGAATGTGAACCAAATTGCTGTACAAGTCGAAAATATATTATAAAAAAAGGCAAATTCGGGTTAAAAGACACCGAAAACACAATAATTAACACAGCAAAAAAACACAACATGGAAAAGCAAACTAAAAATGTCAAACTGTCACTCTCAACTAATGTCAAGCCTATGTATAGAGATGTGTTTTAAATAGAGCCCGACCAATTTATCAGCGAGTTGATTAAATCGGCCAATTTTAGCCCGTTTGAGACTTATTGGTAATCGGCCAAAACTCCCCGATTTTCGCAGATATTTTCAGAAATAAAATGCAGAGAATAAGATTCGGTTTTACTTCGATAATGTTCCGCCATTTGAAAAGTTCCCTGACTTATCCTGTAGATGGCGCAGCAACCTCAACCTCAACCTCTCTTACTGAGGCAGCTGCATGTCTCCAGATGAGGCTGGACCGGAAATGAGTAACGTGAGTTAATTGGTAATCGGAACCCCCCCCTCCCCCAATTAATCGGTATCTGCATCGGCCCTAAAAAATCCATATCAGTCGGGCCCTATTTTTAAGTAATGATTTTAAACTTTCAAGAGTCTGAGCAGTTCTTTTATCAAAGTGAAAGTTGCGCTCTCTTAATTGTTACTTGGGTTGAAATATTAGATTACTGCTGTAGCAATCATAGTCAACACTGAATATCTTTAAAATATTTAAGCACTTATTCTATCACTGAAAATATCTCAAAACATTGTATTTGAACTCTGCATCAGTGCAGCCAAGAATACATGGGTGTACACTTATATATGTATTTAGAGAACTATTTACATACAGATTACAGATTTTTAGATTTGCATTTACCTCTTTGGGCCAAGTCCTGTATAAATCAAGAGAAATCATCAAGTTAAGTCAGATTTTATATATAGAGCATGTTCAAAATAGAAAGTAGAAATGAAAACATAACAGGAAGTTACCTCAGTCTCTTAGCTGGAATGAAAAACCACAGATGAAGTTTGACCAACCAACCGAACAATCAGCAGCACAAGTCAGGCACAGACGACTTGGTTAAGAAGAAAATTCATCTGTAATTAAACAGTTTTTTAAAATTACGCAGCTACATCTCAGGTTGGATAAAGAATTCTTGAACATTTCAAACAAACCTCAGTCATGGACTAACGATACGACCATGAACTCAGTTGGTGAACCGTAAACCTTCTCTGCTGTTGCCATCAGTCAACACTAAATTAACTGTCTGACTGACATTTGCTCTGTATTTACTTTATGTTCAACCATGGAGACATACAAGTACGGCAACACCACGAAGACAAATGACATGCAGAGCTGCACAAACACAGTTGACTGTCTTTGGGATTATGTTTTAAGTGAAGAAAATGAATCAGCTGACTTTAGAGCAGGATTGTGAGGAGTCTTTTAGATGTAGTGGAGAAAAATCCAAAGTTTTCCCCAAAGTAATACTAAAATAAAGCAGATATATACTCAGATAGAGCACTCAGATAAAGTTTATATACTTAGTTAAGGTCCACCACTGTCCCCAAGATGGATGTTGATAAAAAGCTATTTAAGATTTTGATACTGATGGAACATTAAGTTTGTAAAAGCAGGCCTTGACTTACAGCCCAGCCCTACTTTTGAGTAATATTTTAATTTAATATCTCGAGCTAAGAGTGAGTAAATAACATGTTGTTATCAGCACATACTGTAGATACTGACTATTAGAAGTTTTCCAATATTCTAGATGAAGTCTGGTCTTCTGCAGACTGTCAATAATCAGATTGAGACCTTGTTCTCTTTATCTCTCGGCACACAGACGTTTATCTCACCGCAGCCTGAGACAAAGTTCAAACAGGAGGTTCAAAGGGGAGATTGTGCTTTTGAAGTGGCACCCCCGCCACTGTCATGAACGTGGGCACGGCGCACAGCGAGGTGAACCCAAACACCCGGGTGATGAACAGCAGAGGGATGTGGCTCTCCTACATCCTGGGCATCGGCCTCCTGCACGTCATCCTGCTCAGCATTCCCTTCGCCAGCGTGCCAGTGGTCTGGACCCTCACCAACCTCATACACAATCTGGTCAGTAAAGCATAATTTCCACCAGAACCACCAGCCTGGCTTCTGTATTTTTTTTTTTTTTTTTCATGAGTTGTTGAAGAAGTGAGGTCAATTAAGGACATGATGAAGAGCTGTCTGAGAAAAGCTTTCTATTTGGGGGATGGAAATAGCTGTATAACAAGGGAAGAAGTAAATCACAGCACAAAGATGTTTCTAGGAAGCTGCTTTATTCAAGAAGTTCTTGTTATGCCTCAGTTGGCTGAAACCTTTTTGTATTATTACTCCATGTTGTTAGTCTTCGACAAGCTTGAAAAACACGTTTTGTTCTACAACCAATCACGATTTTACGTGGTGTGAAATTATAAAGGCATGACGATGGTGGAGTGCGTCACAGCACTGATGCAGACCCAGGTTATGAAGTAGGTCTTGACATTTGTATTGAAAGAGAGACATTATGAGGCGTAAATGTGTTGCCTTTTAAAGGACTTTTTCTAAGTTTTAGGCACTAAACTATCCAAAAATGATGGTTCCGTCAGAAGCACAAACTGATTTTTTTAGTTTTATTTTACAGAAAATTTGGGAAAGTTTTATGACGAGCAAAAGTAAATTACAAGGAATGCGGAAAAAAGTTAACTGTCAAATCTGATCTTTTCCTCGCTTGTACAGTTCCGCCATCACTTCTCTGTACTCGGCATGCTGACTCAAAACTTCAGGGCTGTAATCTTCCTCCACACGAATTTGCTGGCCCCGTTACTCCAGCCTCCCTCTTCGTCGACTTTTATCCCGTAGCAGTGTAATCGGAGAATGACCGGGCGCGATCGCTGTCCCGGGGCCGGTTTGGCAGTTAGTGAGCAGAGTGTTGCTCCAGTAGCACAGACACAGCATCAACTGTTACGCTAGCTGCCAACGATGAATTGTCCATTTTGGAAGATTTACCTCTCTTCGGAGTCATTTGTAACTAGACCACAATAAGATAATTGACACCAATAAATTACAGCAAGTTGTCGTAGAATGTCTGAATGAAATGTTATAAGATGGAAACATGCAGGAGCTGCTCTCCGTTGCTTCTACTCCATGTGGCCGCTTAACTGGAAGTCTCCTTTGAGGTGTTATACTTTATTTTTTGGGGGGAGTCTTTAGTGAGTCCAGAACTGATAGTCACGGTCCAGGGATGATGTATTTTATCATGCAGTTCAAAAGTTCCTGACATCACATCTACTTGTTTCTTGCTTGTTTTTTAAATCTTAACAATCAAATCAAAAAAGTGAAAGATGAAGTCCTTAAAGCTCCTGTCAGGAACTTTTCATTCGTGCACATTTTGAACAATCTTTGTTTACCTTGTCCTCCATGTGCCTTAGTAGTAACTTTACAAAAAAATATTCCATCCTGCTGAATTTTGACTCTTAAATGTGTCAATTTTTGTCAATATTGTACATGAAAATTATAAATCAAGGCTGTTTTTCACCCGCATGGCCGACACCAACCCCCTCAGACCAATTCAATGGAGTCAAAATAACAACATACAGTTTTTTCATCTTGTCATATTTGCTTTCGGAGATCATAAAAAGGCATCAATATGAATTTCAGTTGATTTTATAGTCATAGAAAAAAACTCCACAGGAGCTTTAATTGATTCAGTGCATTAATTGTTTCTTTAATTGTTTTTCCTATCCAGACCTGTTTAATTATTTTCAGTCCATCTTCTTTCATTATTTTACTCAGCCTTTGTTTTAAGGTGCGTTGTCTTTTAGTCCGTAAGCTTTGCTCCGTTGTCTCCTTGTTTTATTCTCATACCGTGAGTGTTTATGTTTGTGAAGCACTTTGTCACTTTATTTGAATAAAAGCTGTGTAAATAAAAGTTATTACCCCTCTAATTATCATCATATCTCTGATCTCTTGCAGTGCATGTACCTCCTACTTCACACGGTCAAAGGGACGCCGTTTGAGACCCCAGATCAGGGCAAAGCCCGCCTCCTCACGCACTGGGAGCAGATGGACTACGGCGTTCAGTTTACCGCTTCACGAAAGTTCCTCACCATCACACCCATCGTCTTGTAAGTGTCTCTGCGCTCTTCGTGCTTACCTTCGGTTGTGTAACAGGTGACAGGAACAGCTGATCATAAAGAGCGGATCTAAATTAGAGTACACAGCGGGAAACAAGTAAAGCAGGCTTGTGTGTGCTGTGGTGCCATCACTTTGACATTAAGAAGGTGAAAAGAGAACAAACAGAAATACTCCTAAGTGCCTCAAGAACGACGTGATCCTGCTGCAGCGTCTGATCATTAAGACTCACTTTGGTTTATAGGTTTCTGTGGAAGTGGGTGATCGTCTCTGTCTGCTGATTTTTGATTCGCAGCTGAGTTTTATTTTTGCAGAATCTAGAATCATCTGTAAGAGAAAACAATTTCCACCACTTTAAGCTTTATTTATGAGTTTTCACTCACATCGAGAGTTGATTGATTATCCTTCCTGCTGCCTCCCTCATTAGCCAAGCTCACAAATTGTTAAGGGGCTTAGTATTTGCAGCAGGACTCCACGCTGCTTTCATGCCCTTTTCTGTCCCTATTAAGCAGCACAGTTCACTTTACAGGAAGCTCCCTCTCTCTCTCTCAGACTCCCTGGGGTTAGTTTGCCAGCTCAGCTTGAACATTGTCCCGATAGCAGTTTTGCAGGTACATGTTTGCATTCGCCAGAATCGAAGGCCTCCCTTCATTTTGTTTACCAGCAGGGAGACACGAGTGGTCAGTCTGCAGGCTTCAGATGGAAAAAAAGCAACAACGCATCCACTGAAGTTTCTCAAGAGCCTCTTTCACATGTCTTCACTTGTTCAGCAGAGAACAGAATGTGCGGTTTGTCAGCCTGAGCTTGAGAAAAATTGTGATGTGGTATTCCAGTTAAGTCCTTAAATGCCGCTTACATCGAACTCGGTAGCTTGTATTGACTGGAGTGTTTCTGTGCCTAGACCGCATACTATATGTGCATCCACTGCCAGCATGTAGTGACAGTCAGGGCTTGTAATAGAAGGGGGATAAGAGCTTGTGAGAAATAACCTTGTTGGTTAGATTAGATTTAGAGCTCAGCAGTAAACAGGCTTTGTTACAGGAAGATTTTCAGTTCCAACGATATTGGAGAAAAGATATAAGAAATATCTGAAAGTATTTTATCAACAACACATCTATATTTCTAATTCAGCCATTAAATTGAGGCTGGCCCCTCCTAAAAGAAACATCCTGAAAAGAGAGAGTAATCATCAGATCGTGACGGTGCATCTGGGCATGTATAACCTGCAGGCAAACGGCACACTTTTGTTTTCGCAACATCCCCATTTCGGTGTAAATGCACGCAACATCAAAAGAGAAAATGAAGATAAACTAGATCGAGGCTTAAATAAAAACTGATTTTGCAATTCTGTTACTCTGCATGTTGAAACACCGTCACTCCTTCAGGTGTTGGCGCTTTGTGTTCCAGTTTGGGAACACCTTACTGTGAATTTTAGGAGAAAATCAACTGGGAATCTATTACAAACAACAGGACTAAAAATCTAACTTCTACTGGTGTTCCCCTTTTGAAGACGTTTGCATCACCAACTAACCATCGGTCACTTTTCTGGCAAATATTTTACAAAGGAACAGAAAAAAAGTGGTGGCACCACAGCAGATGTTTGCTCTTGCACAAAAGATCCAACATATATTCTGAGGTTGCAAATTCTGAGGTTGCAAAGATTGAAAACCAAGAAGGTCATAATTGTGAGACCTGAAATTCGGAGTTGTGTTTTTATGTTATTTTCTGTTTAGGTTATTCTAAACTCATTGTTTTCCTCGCCAACAGAGACTCATATATGACCATTTTTTGCAGACTAGCAATTTACCGTAAAGTCTGAAATATAAGTTGCAGTATATGGATGCAATTTGTTTTTTTAGGATTATTGGAGGAAAAAAAAATTAAAATTCCTTCCTGAAAAGAAAATTCTGTTGAGTTCAGCAACTTTCCTTTTATGTGCAGCTGTGTAGCACTCTGTACACCTATCATTTTCTGCCATACTGCGAGCAAACCATACAGTTGGTTACGCTCAACCTATGGTAACACTTACGTTTGTGAGGTTTGGACCTACTGCCAGGCTGGACTGGTTCTCTTAGGTCTGTGACACCCCCTTCTGCTGGTCACTTTTCATAAATTGAGTCTTTTCATTCAACAAGTCTAACTAATAGCTGAGCATCATGGTTATGACTGAATGAAGGGAAAGAGCTGGAAAAGCGGTGACAAATGTCCCGTCTACCCTTGGTATGTATCTGTAATGCCTTGTGTAACAATATGACTTCTTACTCATACTCAGATTTTGCTTGTACTGATGTTTACGATGCCTCTTGACAAAAAAAGGTATTCAAGTGCATCCTAGACATCAAAGTTTATGACACTTCAAGACAACAGTCATCACACTTTTCTGTAATTTTTTTTGCAGGTATATTCTGACCAGCTTCTACACCAAATACGACCGAGTCCATTTTGTGGTCAACACAGTTTCTTTGCTCACTGTACTCATCCCCAAGCTGCCTCAGCTACACGGCGTGAGGATCTTTGGCATTAATAAGTACTGACAGGGCTGAAGAGGACACCTCCTTCCTTTGAGTCTCAGCGGACCGGCTGAGAGCACACAGAGGATCACGCCTCTGATTTGACTGCAGATCTACGAGGATCCGTCGCTCTGGACTCTGCTGTGCTCTGCTCTAAATGAAGCCCGCTGAGGATACTGCCATGGTACCAAACCTCAATACACTTTACAGAGAGGACGGAGAGAAAGTGTACTGCAGAGGTTCTTTGTGGCCTGTTTCCTTTGAGTTAAAGGTTTTCTAGGGACACTTTACAGCATCGGTAAGGGAGCATTACGCCTGTTAAAATGACAGTTTGGTGTCGAGGGGAGAGGACAATGACACCCACTGGCACTCTGACGCTGTAGTCTGACTTATTTTCTATGTAATGACACAGTGCTGTATTTATTCAGCTTTCCTCTCACCAGAAGTGTCTTTTGCTCGAGGTTTCTGGGGAGTCAAACAATATTTTAATGAAACGATGAGGGACTTGTGAACTGCAGCAGAGGCGAGACAAAAAAACCCACACGGTTTTATATTTAGCCCTCGCTGTGCTGCTCAGGGCCAAGATAGTGAAGTTAAGTAGCTCTTATTTTATCTGACCATTTCCATATTTGGACCCCTTTTGTCCTGTTTCTGTGTCGCAGTGAGCCTCCTGTCTGCAGAACCGTCTAGCCTGAGTGTAGAAAGAATGTTCCGGAGCAGTCCACTGATCCAATACGGTACGATAAGAAGGTCATCAGCTGAGTGACAAGCGCTTATATCCTTAATTATTTCACAAATAAAGACTCCAATCTTATCAGAGTCACCTTTTAAACTGAAGCGATAAATGATGGAAACCTTATAGGTCAAAAATACTCGCATTTCCTTTTTTTCTCTCTCCGCAGTTTCAGAAGCGAAGGACAGAACTTTTCAAAACCCCTCTCAAAGTTTCATGTCTGTTGTGTTGGCTAACTCAGCTTATCTGCTGTCTGGTGCTGAGCAGGTCCGAGTGTCATTTGATAAAGGTACGATAATAGCAAACGAAGTTCCTTGTAGAAAACAGTTTATTACCTCATGCTAAAGTAATCCTCTTTATCAACCAGGTAGCCAGGATGGTCAACTGTGACCAACTATTACATCTGACCTGCTTTTAAAGGTAAAATGCGTAGAATTCAGCAGAATAGACTTTGTAGGAGTGGAATATTATACTCATAAGTATGTTTCAAAGGTTTTGTTTACTTAATATGAACCTTTTAAATCTGCACAGGAGGCTGAAATCTTGCACCAACACATTTCTACAGTAGCACAGAAGGGACAAACTAGTCTGATCTTTGAGAAATGCTCAGTTGAAGGACAAATAAGTGCGAAAATGAATTTGTACTGGTAGATTTTTTGATGGTAAAAACTTGACAAATGGAGGATCGTAGAGGAGTGTCTCATCCTCGAGGGCCACCGTTGCTTTGCTGACAGGAGGGTTGAGCTAGGGGGCAGCTGAATCTAGAATCTGACAGCTAGATATCGTGAAATATTTCTTTACGCAGTATCTTTAAATCTTCTCAAGCTTTACAGTCTTTCGCCCAAAAAGTGAAAATGAAAATGAAAGGATGGATGTTTCAACCAAAATCATGCAGCAGAATCCAAATCTTCATCTTTAAAGCTCCTGTGAAGAACTTTAGGTTTGTGTTGAGTTTGGTGCCCCTTGTGGACGAAACGGTACTGCGAAGCGTTTTGCTGGTTTTACTTTGTACACCCAGATGTTAGAATCATCTTAAAATTCATTTGTGATAGAGATGTTTCAAACCCGATCAAGGATGACTTAAAACTGAGACTTAAATGTGAATTCAGGAAACTTAGATACTGGAGGTCAACACGAAGCATTTCATCATGGCTGTTAGTTGAATTTAAGAAATGAAGATGGAATTTTAGGTTTTATTATAGGAATGTTTGTCTGTAATTCTGCGTCATGTATTATTCTGATACCAAACGCTCTTCAGATAATCTTTAAATAGTATAGTTAAACCTGTGTTAAATGTTAGATTTGAAGGTTAAATATGTTATTTCATGAGGTGAAAAATGGGACAACTTCCAACATGTTTGGAAAGAAAAAGGTTTTAAGCACATTTTAGTCTCAGCAGAGCAGTAACCTGTAGCTTTAGTAGCAAAATTACTGGCTGTGAGAAGCAGGAGTCTTCGTAGTTACACAGAGTTTTATCTATTAAGGAAATAAAAATCCAAGTTTTCATCATTTGGACATTTTGAATCATACTCAGTGATACGTTGGTGTACGTTTTGTTTATTTGCACAGTGTGATAGATTATGAGTAACAGCGATCGTGGCCCAACTGCTGGTTTGTAAATACAACTTTCATCATGTTTCAACCTCAACTCTGATATTTCTGAGATAAAGTCACCATAAAGGGCTTACTTCATTGACACACTGTGATAGTTCACAGCACAAATGGTTTCTTTTTTTAAACTTGGCAACGGTTTGTAATGAATGTCGACTAAATGTGAAAGAGCGTGCTCCCAGCCTGTTTGGATTCTGAAGGAACTGTCAATGTGATTGTCTGTACGAGAGCTTGACCCCAAAAATACAGTGTTTTTAAAAAAACGTTGAAGTTTGTTTCTCTTCTGTGGGTTGTGTTCAAGTCAGTGTCTGTGAGCAGCACTTAAAATCTGTATATCTTCAAGTCTGCAAAGGTTGTATGCTCTGGCTCAAGTTGTCTTTGATCCATCTTGATCCATCTCATCAGCAGGTCAAGGGTCCTCATGAAGGGGATTCCAGCTCTTTCCAGTGATCCAGATCATTTGGCTCAAGAAAAACTGAGTCTCCTAAACGGCTCTTGATAGCATCGTTCACAACAGCAGCTGACTTTGAAAGTCGACACGTTGCTAAATGCTCCCGAGCTCCCGTACGTACTGTCTGCTGCCACAGTGCTGTGTTCCAACAATCTAGTCAGGTGTGACAAAAATCACGGTGTTAAAAGAAACTGAACTAAATGGTTGTTCCAGTTTGAGAGTTAATTAAAAAAGCACGTAACCAACGTGTAATTGACGGACTTACCAGACCAGCATCCGATGTGACCAATTGTGTTTAAAAATACCTCTTACAAATCCACAAACTATCCCTTTAAGAACAGTTAACACATTTCCTCACTACTTTGGCTCCAGTTGTGGCGTTTGACTGATAGTTTCTGTAAGTATTGACTTTTTCTCTTGTTTTGAAGGTTTCCAGGGTTTTACAGATGAAAAACGTTCAGAGTTCTTGCCAGCATAAATAAAAGAGTGTCGTCCACGCTGACCTTTTTCCAAACAGCAACATTTATTTTGCTGCCGCTCGCCAGATTGATAAAAATTCCATTTAGGCCGAGGCCCTTCAGCTTAAATCTTGCTTTATCTTCCCTTCTGTCATTTCCACCGGGCAACAAAACGGTGCTCGGTGTCAAATATTATCCATGGCTTTGACTCTGACAGCTACACCTGACAGAAACATTAAAGTCGCACGGCACCAGAGGACTGTTAAACACTGATTCCTGTCAAAGCAAAGATAAGGTATTAGGGTGAATGTAACAGGATATCATGTTGGATTTACTGCTGTGACTACAAAGATTTCGCACCAAACAGCCTGTACTTACTGAGAGGAGACGTTCATTTTGTATACTCTAAAATCAACCCTGGAAACAGACAACCAGTAATTTTGTACTTTCATAAACAGTTTTGAGTTAAAGCTGGTAGATTTTCTGGCTCATAGATGTGATTTATTTTGTCTTGTTTTGTTGTACAATCTCTCTGTTGACATAACTCTATATTGACGTCATATCGAGGACAGCAGCAACAATAGCATGTCGAGTATGAGACCAGACAGGTAGGTATAGTTTATCTATATGCGAGCAGGAATTAAATTAATTCAAACACTCCAATGTCAGCTTTGTTTGTACAGTAATTACTGCAGTTTCATCTGTATTTATGTACTCTTTGTGTACCTACACCTCACTGCTTCCACTTTCTCCTCAGGGCTTTAATCAGTACATTTTTGTGAGCTTTCAATTTCCATAATAAAGTGTTAAATGTTGCCGCTGTTAGACAAGAGGCAATTACTACAAAAGGTCAACTCCAGAGAAACGGAGAAAAAGACCATTCTTTAACCTGAAAGCATTACAAACAGTCTTTTTTCACTCGTGCTCTCAACTCCTGGAGATTTCCTGAATTTTTCAGGGTGAATTGCATGAATGTTTTTCCACTGACCTTGCCCATTCAAGTTTTTCAGGAAGTTTGGATCAGTAAATGTCAGAAATGAGACTTTTTCTTTTTAAATTCATCAGCAGTTCTTCTCCACTCGTCTGTTGATACTTCAGATTCATTTGTTTTCAGCATTTACATAAATGCAAACTACTGTCATTATCTGACTTTGCTTTGTCCCTGTCGTAGATATCTTGCAAATATTTCGTAACTTGAGAAAGTTCTTTAATTTACAAATTTCCTGGTGTGTGTTTGTGAAAAAGGCTTTACAGACACATCAGGAATTCAAGGCCTGAAACACTTTGTTTTGGCTGCTTTCCCAGTGGGTGTTACTTTTTACACAGCTGAGTTTCTGTGACAGTTATGCCTTGACGGAAAACGTCTGAGACGAGACATTAGCATCCACTTAGCTCCTCGTTTAGCCACCTAACAGTTGAGATTCAAGTCCAGTTTGTACTGGCCTTTGTTTCTCAGTGAAGTGGTGAGCACCAACAGCTACATCGAGTCCTGGGAACGTTTTCAATACAACATTTTAAGGTTGTATGTATGTGTTAAAGTACAGATCAGCTTCTGTATCTTCTATTTGGAGGCTTTACTAATCCAGCTACAGTGAGGGGCTGGTTTATATCAGTGGATACAGCAGGCGGCTTGTGGCCAAGTCCCCAACTCACCAGCCACAGGCTTGACCCCTGGCCTTGGCCCCCCTCACAAATGCCTCTTTCTCTCTCGCTCTCGTTCTCTCGCTCTCTCTCCTCCGTGTATTTCCTGTTTCTCCCCAACTTTCCCACCAATGATGGTCTGTGCCAATAATAGTCTTCAAAAACAGGACACAACTGGGAAAAAAAACGAATGGTAAATTAATGGAAATAAACCCATTAACCTCCCCTTTAGAAGCGTACAGGAAAGTCAAGTCAATTTTATGTTAATCCGATACCACAAATCATACATTCGCCTATAGGGGCTTCACAGTCTACAAAGCATGCAGCCCTCTTGGAGGCTCTATTTGGAGGGTATTTCATATTCTTTTCATGTCATATAAGCTTTAAGAAACCAAAGCCTGGAGCCAACGTGGGATGTGATTTGTGGATGTGTTTTTTCCTGGTCCAATTAATTGAATTAGATCCTGTGCTGTGAGGTTAAAACTCGAGGCATATAGAGTCTATAGAAATGTGTGAGCTATATATTTTGACTCTTTAGCGTTTAGAGATCTGTATTTTTTATCTTGATGGAGGTTTATTTTGACAGATTTTGAGCAGATATACAGTAAAGTGCAGCGTTCCAAACCGTCTCTCCAGCAGAGGGCAGCAAAAGGCTGTCATTGACCTTAATCTGGAGTGACATATGACTCCTATAAATAGGACTGCCTGAAGGGAGGTATTATTGGTCTTTTCTCTTGTCTCTCTGTCTGGAGGTTTTCTCTATATTCAGCTCATTCACTCTATTTTGTTCCCATTAGGATGTACAGTCTCCCTCAAATTCATTGATTTAATCATATTTCTCAAACCCTCCTCACTGAAATAGTCCGATATTTGTCTGACAACATGAACATGAACCAGAAAAGCATGAACATGAATGTTTAAAAAGAGGTCTATAAAATAACTATGTTTCTGTGAAAGCATTGTGTTTGCTCTAACATTTAAAAAATAGATGCATGTTACCGAGTTCTGGGTCAGTCAGTATTTGTCCACATGTGTGTGTGTTCTGCAGGAAAAAAGCAATATGCAGGATGAGTGTTGGAGATGGTAATAACATTTGAGCTTGGAAATGAGTGCAAATGTATTTTTATCTTCCTGTTGCAGCAGAGAAATGAATGTCAGTAGTTTAAAATACTCATATTTTTACTGCTTATTACCTCTTTACTCTCTAACATATGATTTCTATTAACTACACTGTCTGGTATGTACACTGTTTACTGCAGAAGCAGCACAGTTCTCACTATTTATGCCTTGCAGTTCCAGGACATAAATTAAATCAGGATTAAATGTAAATAAAGAGGCTTATTGGTGAATTAATCCAATTATAACCCATGACCCCTTTAAACCCTGTGCTCACATAAGTGTTTAGAGACAAACAGAAAACAAAAGAGACAGGAAGCAGAACTTTTTTCATTTCTCCACAAAACTAGGTCTGTTTGGAGAGTCCTGATATTTGCCTGGTTTAAAGAAAATACTTTTATTTCTTTATTTTTGTTGATATATAAGGTTGTACAGAAGAAGGCGTTGGTTTGTTGGCTGCTGTTTTGGCGGGAAAACTATTGAAGTCAACTCCAGAAGGCTGGAGCTCATGAGAACCCAAAACTTTTAAAATCCACCAGAAATGATCTAATTAGCTAATTGATTGGATCCAGTTCATGTGTTGGCTGAAAGAGGATGTGTAGGGTGCTGGACTGGCTCAGTTGGTTGAGAGGCGCCCCACGTACAGAGGCCATGGACCTTGATGTATGGCCATAGGATTGATTTATGGTCCCGATATGATTCGGTGCATCCCATCCTTATGCCTCCCTATATTTCTGGTCTTTCTACAGACTTCCAGTCCATTAAAGGTTAAAAAGCCCAAAGTTATCTCAAAGAAAGTCTGAGTATCAGTGTCGCAAACGGGTCATCTAACCATGGAAAAGCCAACATCTAATACATCCTTATGCTAATGCATGGGCTTCTACAAATGAATACAAGTATTAAAAGTGCTAAACAGGCCAACAAACCAAGATCACAGACAGAGATACCTAATAACAAAACGTCCGATTTAAAAAAACGCTCAAATTTCTGTTCTCCAAAAAGAACAGCAGAGACTTCTTAGACGACCCTGAATCAGACCCTGAATCAGACCCTCAATCACTTGTCCAGGATTTGAGTCTCTGGACTGTGTGTCGTCTGGATTAGAGAAAGTCAACCACTAAGACAAATACTGTTATTTTATTCAGTCAAGTTGTCGTACTGAAATTTTTAACACTTTCACATCAGCTCAGTTGTTTCCAGGTTTGAAGGTTACCACTTTGTAATACGTCAGTGCTAACTGATTCCTCATGACGTATCGAGGAACTTTTTCTGGGACTGGGGACTTCAGACTTCTAAACTGATGTTTAGTCCCCAAAAGGTTCCTACCATAGACTGTATATACTCTGGACAAGTTGGTTCCGCCTTCCGCCAGTATACAGATTTCAAGCCAAAAGCTCTTGGTAATTCCGCGTCGTTTCTCCACTTCCTGAAACCAACATTGGGCGGGAGTGTTGTACGCATTCGGCAGGAGAGTCGCCAAGAGTTGCTGTGATGATGCTCGACTCAAACAGCGTATCCCCCGGGTGAGCTACGCTATCTGTATCAAGTATCAATCATAGAAAGCATGGTCTATGGTTCTTACTAGTGGTGTTAAACTTTCTAAATGTAGAAGAACTTTGAGG